TCACGGATGAGGGCAGTACCGTCAGCATACTCCAAGTTAGGAAGTCGTTCGCCTTGGAGCAGCTGCACACCTTTCCAGTCGTGTTCTGTAAACGCCATCTTTATGAATTTATCAATAGCGAAGTTGGAGAGGAAAGCTGACAGTGAGCCGTATACACGCACTCTGCCCCAGCTACGCGCCTACAGCGCTCAGAAAATGTTTACATATTTTTCGGGCACAAGTTTACTGAGTAGACAGTCCCAAACGGCACATCAATCCACCGAATCGAAGGCACGTTTGAGGTCGAGGAACACGACAACAGTGGGCCGCCAATATAGGTGATGGCGCTCCAACAATTAACACAAAGTGAAGATGTGGTCGATGCAGTAGCGACCTCAAAAAACTGGGTTTGCTCTTTAGGAATCTAACCTTCAAGAATGCCAGTCGGTCTGTGAAAGATGACAGTGGCAAGCAATTTGGAAGCGATGGAGATCAGCCCGATTCCTCTATGGCTGTCGCATTCCGAACAAAAGCCTGCCTTGAAGATTGAGACTAGGACGGAACGTGATGCGACGGTCTATACTAGGTAGTGTCCCACGGCCCCTCGAGAGCTAATCCTACCAGGTTGCTCAGCGGTTAGAGTTCAGACAGGCTCAGCCTCCTGGTCTTCCTGGTTAGGGTTTGAAATGGGATGGCGTCCATTTCTGTAAAACTAAATCATTGATACCTCCGCGCTGTCTTGCGTACATGCTTTTGAGCTAAAGGCTTTGGTTGCGCACTCTAATCATCCTCCTGTCTAGGTCTGAGCGCCCTGACTGAATCTCAGCCCACATACAACCATGAATTTTACCCCAAAGGTTACTTACATCCTGCATCGGTCGTCGCGCAGCTCATCAAATGTCGCGTTATCTGCTGCACACAGCAGGGCGGCTAAGCGAAAATATGCTACTACCAGCACCTCCTTTCTTTTCCACCTATCCCTCTAACTACCCTCCCAACCCGATTGCTAATCTTCCTTCTATAGTTCCCAGTTTAATTGACACCAACCGAAGTAACCGTAGAGTCACAGCATCTACATCCACCTTCCCGTAACACTCAACGGACGCCTATCAGCAACAGTCACTCATAAGGCCACGCTATCCCGTTACTCTGGCGGCGTTCAGCGTTCGCGCTATAAGACAAATAGGTCAACAAGCTGTACTCGCACGTCCGTTTGACATTCTGGGTATTTACTTGTGCTGCTTATCCGAAGCTAGGATGAATGACTGTTGAAGTTGTTGAAATAACTGCACCAGGCTTGTCCTCTCGCTATTGGTTGTACGAGTCCGAAAACACTGATGCGTCAGTCGCTGGTCAAGTTGGGATAGGTATCGCATTCAGCCTCAAGACTGAGTGATCGTTGGTTGAATTGATTCCGGTGAACAGCCGTCTGTGCGCAGCCCGTTTGACGGCATCAACTAAGGTTGATTCACGAAGTAGTACAAGACGCTGTTTGTTTGTGGTTTCCGTTTACGCTCCTACCAACTGCATTTCTGATACTGCCAAGGACACATTCTACCACGTACTGAACACGCTGCTACGCAGTGCTACCATTTCAGGTATCATAATGCTTGCAGGGGATACGAATGCAAATGTAGGTCGCCTCGGCTTCTCAGAAGCTCAGCCAGGTGGTAACTATGGGCTTAACTCCAACCGTACGGACAACGGCGAGCGTCTTTTGCAACTGTGTTCGGAGCACCAGTTGTTTCTTAGTGGCACTGCTGTTAGACACAGTAGGCACTGAACTGCCACTTGGCGTCCTCTTGTAGCTGACCGGCGATGGACTCAAATTGACCACCTTCCCATAAGGTACAGGTGGCGTGGTTCCCTCTTGGATTGCCACTCGTACTGGCATACCTGCGTCCACTTTGATCATGTCTTGGTAGGCTGTCGTTTCTCCATGGGCTTTGCTGTTAGGCGCACCAAGCATCTCCGATTGGCACCTACAAAATTGTCTAAGCCCTCGGTAAGGATGCACTGCATGCCGAACTTTTGCTGTCTTGTGCTAATGACACTGAGCTTCAGTGGAATAGGATGTTGGCCGCCATGCGCGACGCTGGAGCATTTGCTTCTGGTACTGTCAATCATCACGGCATCAATCACTGGATATCTGAGAGGTCGGTGAGCCCGTTGGATTCCGGAAGGCGGAGTTTACAAATCGAGGCCAGAAACCGTTGATAGCCAGTGTAGCTTGGCACGTGTTTGTGCTATCATGGATGAGGGCAGTATCGTCAGCCAAATCAGCCAGCTCGGAGAACACCGGCATACCCTCATCCGTATCCCGAGCTAGAAATATTCACGAATTTCTATACTCCAATTTAGGAACTCGTTCGCCTTGGAGCAGCTGCACGCCTTTCCAGTCGTGTTCTGTGAACGCGATCTTTGTAAATTCGTCAGTAGCCAAGTCAGGGAAGAAAGTTGACAGCAGGTATCCTTGTCCTACACAAGTGTAGGTATTGAAGCGGGGGGGGGAGACAGTTTGCCGTTAGCTCTCACTTTGCTTGAGCTATACGCGTAAAGCGCTCGAATAATATTTATATACTCTTTAATACCGAATGTAAGTCGATATTTTAACAATTTTTCCTTTCTGCACACGTGGTGTCGGCGTGTAAAATAGTTATTCGGCTTTTGAAGGTCACATGCAAAATCTACCCACGAATTCCCTATACAGCTTTGCTCCAATCTCCCCTCATCACCGCTAGTGACGGGCGGTATTCCATATGAGCTTTGAAGTGCCTCATTTATTCTTATGGTGTGCCGTGGCTGTCTAACCCACTGCACTAACTTTTTCTCAACTGCAGGAAACATGACTTTTCTACTACGTGTTACTTTCTTGCTTACAAGCATTAGTGACAGTTCTACCTTTTTCTTTCGCCATTCTGTCATTTGCTATACATTCACGATGAAATGGTGTGCAACTACAAAATCATCGGATTGTTCGGCAAACGCGATAACTTTTCATTTAAAGCCAGCAACATGTGTGCATCGTTTCTGTTGTGACCTTTTTTCCACTTTTCAACGATGTTAGATGATCGTACGAAATGAAGACATTCCCATGTGGATCTTGTGACGTCGCGTTAGCGCTATTTTGATTAGCGAATCGGAAGCGTTTATACATTGTGCTCATCACAACTGACCAGATTTCGCTGAACTCACTCAAGTGAGAGCAAGCATGAGAACGCCAAAATCGTGGAGGAACAATTTCGTTTCTTTTTGCTGCTTTTTTGGGTCGGCTAAAATAGGGACTTACGACTTTGGACAAATTGGATATTGCGAAGTTATACTGTCGGCTTATCCATGGACGGACTTATATTCTCTTATATACGGCGTTTTTCGGGCACCTTTCCTGAGTAGACAGTCCCAAAAGGCACATCGATCAACCAAGTGGAAGGCACCTTTGGTGTCAAGGTATACGACAACAGTGGGCCGCCAATATATGTGACTGTGCTCTAACGATTTACGCAAAGTGAAGATGTGATTGATGCAACCTCGACCTCAACAAAACCCGGCTTGATCCTCACGAATCTAGTCAGTCTGTGAAGTATTACAGGCAAGCAATTTGCGGGCGATGGAGATCAGACTGATTGCTCTGTGGTTGTCGCATTCTGAACACGAGCCTCTCTTTAAATTGGTACTATAAGGGAGCGGTTTCAGTCTGTCGGGACAGTTTCCTGCTCCCACACTTTCACTAGTAACTGGTGCAACTCGTCAACAAGAACCGAGCCCCGGGTTTCAAAGTGTGCTTAATGAAAATCATCTGGTCTCGCGGTTCTATTCAGCTTCAGCAGTCCGATCTTACGTTCGACTTTTGAGCGGTGTATCCAAGGGGGGAGCCGAGGGAGCAGGCGATTTGCGGCCGGCGAGAAATCTGACGATATCAGCCGGGCAAATTGTTCAGCCCAACTCTCCAAACGTTTTGACGAATTGTGAATACGCTGTCCACTCTCATCACATGTAGTTTCACTAATACCAGGTTTCCTGCCGCCCGTTTTCCGCATCAGACTTAATGGAGCGCACACGGAGATCACAAACAAATTGTATCTATCATCTGCATGAGTCCGAATGCTGAACTTCACTCAGTCGATTGTTAATCCGGAAGCGGTCCAGCAGCGCGGCCTTGGATTTGCCACATCAGTAGTTATGGACTCCAAAGTATGCACAAGACCAGGCTGTTATACAATCTACATAAGTGTCAGTATGGCAGATATAACAAAAACCGAGTCCGTATAAGGGCCACTGGTTGGGATCTATGGGCATCGTTAAAATTATCGTAGTTGGATTATAGAAATTGGAATCAGTAGGTAACGGAAAACAGTGTTTGTTAGCACATTAACTGGTGGCGCGTGAAGAGGGTACATTAGTATCGGAAACAAGAGTAGTTGTGCGCGGCGTAGTAGTTGGACGGTCTCCGTTTTTTCAGTGGACATGTTAACATCTGGTTGCTCAAATCATCATTCATCATCATTATACACATCAGCTAGAGGTGGGAAAACACCTCCACTATTGGTTTCTCAAAACGAAATATTGATTTGCCTTAGGGGATACTACAACCGAGAATGGATTCCCATCGGACGGTTTTTGTAATCTCTTTAGGGGATTGTTGGCACTGATCTACTCCAATTGACCTTGGCTGGATTCACGGTTGGTTTTCATTTCATGTTCCCACAAATCGGTCTCACCCCAACGGATTTTGCCTTGTTTGATTGGTAGTGGGATCTTATATTCCTTCAGTATTTTGGAATTACTTTCTTCCATGCTCTGGACAGTGCACGTTGCAGTTATCGTATGAATGTTTGTTATGAATAAATTGTCTGTACTGTGATAAACCCATATCAGACGGATTTAAGTTATTCTGCTGAACAATCAGTTGTGATTACCCGTGTATTTTTGTGCTTAGTTCCATCTGTCAGCTTTTTGGCAGAATCTATGCTCTAAGACCTCTCAGATAGTACTGTTTCATCTGCTTGTTTTCTATGACCGCAGGTAAATGCCAATTGGCATTGGTTTCTATTGACACGCTTATTCCAAATGAATCGTTATTCAGATGCCTGAATCTCAGGATTTCTCAAAATGCTCTATGAGTACCGGGACTCTGATCCAAGGCACGGGGACCGATATTCCTAGAAACGGTTTTCTCTTACCTTCCAACACGGTCTATGACTTACGGAAATCGAAACTTCGAGCTTCAAAGAAATTTGAAGTTTGGCCGCTTATTTACGGCACTGGAATTGGGACCGCCGTTGTTTTACTGTCATCTTTCGTAATCCACATAAACGCTAGACAGCTGTTCCACCTATATACTCGGAGCCATTTTTGGTCTACCTTGTATGCTCCGGTGCTTTTTTCTGGCGCCTTATATTGGATAAGCTTTGAAGGCCTGATAACCCGACGTGTCTTGACCAGGACTTCTTTTGATGTTGAAGGGTATGGCGATTGTGACCTTTGTTTGGAGGTTCGTGGCTCATTGATCCAGGTTAGTGCCAACGTCATGATGCATCTCGAGGTTTTTTCATCATCAAGTTCAACATCATTAATGGTCCGTGGTGTCGAACATGTCTTTGCTTTATCTTTCTTGATTCTACCATAGCTAAATATTTTTGTTACTTCATGTAATGTAAGACTACACCCAGGAGACCTATTGACTGATGCGCATGCCCGTGCATTGTAAACATTCAGACAAAATGTCTAAGTAATCCTGTTGTAATAAACATCGTCAGTGTCCAGGGACTCGGCACATCGCCATTTGGAATTTTTGACAAAACAACTACGTTCATCGTGAGCAGGATGGAATATTCGATTCATGAGAAGAATTCGCATCATATGGTCCTGAAATTAGTGCCATCGTCCAAATCTCTAACAGAAAGTTGGCCCATGTTCCAGTTATCTTTTTGTCGCTGAAACTCGCATAGTACGCTTCAGGATATCTGATAAGAATCTAGATCGACTTTACCCTATGGGCATTGTTACTCCGCTCCTTTCATTGCTACTCAATGGCTATTAATTTACTAACGAAAAACGAGTTGCATAATTCAGGGTGAGTACAATCACAATGCTTATATTACTAATACTACTACTAATAATAATAATAGCACTACGTATATTTTCTGATTGTACGAGGAGCTGTACCCGGAATAGGGACAGATCATTAATGCAGTAATGAACATTCTCGTGCATGAGTGATGCAGGTGTTCTAATGCGTCTGTGCCATTACGGCATTCTGAAATACATAGTTTTTGTTGGCGCTGAGTCTTGTGTTGCAGCTTTTCTCACTGGCTATATATGCTTTGGCTCATCTTGGAAGAACTCATGTTCCCGATGAAAATGTAGTCACTATAGAGTTCTGGTTTGGAAAATTTCCATGCTTAATGCGAAATGTTCTTGCATTAGTGCAAGTCTTGGTAGTATTCGGTAGGCGATCCAATAGGATAGCGTATCTTAGGAAAAGGTAGGTTGAATAGCTGTCCTGGCACAATTAGTTTACAAGTCTTGTTGCGAAGCCACCGAGTGAAGTTGTGTTGCAGTTCTAATGTAGACAGATAAGTGTGTATTTTGTTTGAGATTGTGCATGAGCACCAAGTTATGTTTCAGCCGTCCCAACCAAAGACGCTCCAGGTTAAGCCGCTGACAACGCTCCTGACGGCTCAAACTGGACGCTTTACTGAACAAACGTTTAACGAATGACCTTTGTATGTTTTCCAGAGCTTTTCTGTCATCTATTCGTATGGTTCCATAGACGATGCTACAGCATTCAAGGATGGGAAATGTGCGGATTTCCTAAAGTTCGATTTAGACATGGACTACGTGGATTTTCTCGCATATGTTAACTTATGTTTTTGGTTTCCTTTACTCAACCACAGTGTAAACACATGGAAGGTGAGAAGACGAACAAGCACTGATGCAAGATGTATCTTCGTGTGGGAAAGTCCGGGAATATTGAACGTGGTACAATGGAAAGAAAAGAGCTTCGCAGTCCAGGATAGGATCAGTGACAAGCTGAAATGAAGGAAAATATAGTTGTAGTTAATGAGCATAAGTGTCAACAAAGGGAATGAATTCGTTTAAAGATAGCCCTCTTAAAATTTCCCCTTGGGATCGGATGTTCGTATGGTTGCTGTTGTGGATCCAACTGCATAGGCACACGCTGCCGTCTGATATGATCTACCCCTTATCTCGGTGTGTACTCGACTGTATGGATTGGCCCGATGACCTAATCCGGGGGCTTGAGCCTCGGCAAGAGCTCAAAAATATCCAGGGGAATGTCAATAGGAAAAGTACGGCAGTGAGGCGTTGTTGTTTAGCAAGGGGACAAACGCAACTAGTTGGCATGGCGGACCCATATTGAGGAGTGTACATCTACTTCATAGGTAACCTGGCTCGTGCGGCCTATAATCAGATCCTGGTCAGTTGTAAATAAGTGGTAGAATACGTGGATTTTTTAAAAGGCTACCGTGAAACCGGGCATTCAGACTCTTGGAAATAAATACTGCACTTACCCTTGTGCCTGTGAGCAATTTAAGCAGCTAGTGTTCCTAGGTATACCTCAGCATTTAGAAAGTTCTTTCTTTAGCAGAGTCAATAAAGTGTAGTCCTAAAGCTGTTCATTGAATTTATCATGAGAAAAGTGCAGTCGCTGGACAAAATTAATGAGGTCACGAATTTACTTCTTCACCTAGGATATACTGATAGCATCTCTAATCTGGGAGCATATAACATAAGCTTCTGGCTTAAGGAATCATCGTCATCAACGGTAGTACATCAGCTATTTGAACGGATGCTAGTCTACCGTACAACTACGACGACCTACAGAACGAAATACAAAAAGAGGGAAAGAAGGGGGACCTAACGTGCAACTTTAATGCCATAAACAACCATTCAGGATCAAGACGCCTACTGCTTATGAAAGTAACAAACAATCGCCGACAGCTGGCTATTGTGTAAAGATAAGGCGGCATCGGTGCGACTTCTCCTTTGTGGCTTTCACTGACCCGTGTCATAATCAGTCAGTATCTAGCAGATTACTCAGCACCAAGCACACTACAGACGATCCCTCAACGAGACGACAGCAGACACGCCACTGCTACTGACTGCGAGCCATGTCCTGTGACATCTGGACCCAAACACAAGGCGGGTCACGTGGACTCCAGCCAGGAAGGCGAGACGGACTGACGGTACCGAGTTTGATCCCCAGTGACTTCATTTCCTGCTGCCAAGTTAACGTTTGCCAACATCGAGCCTTGCGCTACCCCACATCTGACAAACGAAACAAGGTCCTCCTCAGTAAGCGGTGACCAGGCATAGGTAGTACGTGCCGAAACCGACGCAACTGATTCAGCTCTATCTGTTGTCCTAATGAATCAGCCTCCTCATCACTGCTTAGCACTCGCCTACGCACATCATCGTTGCGGACACACTGGTGCCATCCGACACCAGCAACGCTTCGCAGATCGCGATGATCAAAGACTTGAATACGTCGCGGTTCCTCAGATCGAAGTAGCCAAGTCTCAGTTCCATAGACTAGGAAGGCCCTCTCTGTGGCCTTGTAGACACGGCGTTTCAGACCGAGAGGACCCATTTCTGACCCTACAGATTCAAAGACTGTTTTAGCTCTTGCAATGCCTGAACTGATTTTAGTGCTTATGTGCTAATATTTACTGATCCAGCTGCCACCTCAAGGGAATTAATCAACAGCCTTGAGTTCCTCGACATTAAGGTGGCATCAAGTGGCTAATGGTTCTGTAACAGCACTTTGCATTTTGTGGGTGCGAAGCGCATGACATGTGATGGGACCACGCTTGAGAGGTTATTCAGGGTTGGTTGCTCTCCCCCAACATCGTTAAACAGCGTGGCAATACCATCCGTGCAATCTTAATCAACTAGTCGAATTCTATTTTAGTAGTACTTATTGCGTGAATGAATTGAGACGCGCAATCTCAACGTGGATCGCAATTCGCATTGTAGTTAACCTTGACCATTAGATCACTGAACCTTAACTGATGAAGCTGCTGTATATTTACTTTTGCCCGCCTGAAAACCTTGCCTTTCCACCTAGGTGGATCTTATTAGGTAGTAAGAAAACACAATTGCAAAGAGATCTCTTTTCGGTAACTCACGTCAGGCATATACGTTTACAAGGATGACTGGGATATGCATAAGCTAATAAAAACTGAAACGAAGTAGAGGTGAGTCTGAATTTATTCATACAGAAGTTAAGTTGATCGGGCTAATCGCTAAACCTTGTGTTGTCGATGAAGGCTGACCTTATTTGATCCTACTTGACACAGTTCGCTGATCACTTCGCGAAGCAAATTGGGTCAGCCGGAAGTGATGCCACCTTTGGTCTCGTCAATGTTCCATGCTGATGGATCCTTATCACGGCCACGGCAGTGTGAGAGATTGCAGTAGCACCCTCTGCTTGCAAAGTTCCGTTTGCGTTAACTTGATCGCTAGTAATTCCGCAATCTTAACGAGGCGTCACTTAACCCCCCTAGGATGTCGTTTTGACACGGTGTAAAAGATGATGAAAGCATCATTGGTCAGAATTTCGTGTCCACTCTGAACCAGATGTTCAAGGATGGAACTTCTGATACTTCCGGCAATACCTTTTCGTAGAGACCCGGGGCAGTGCTCAGCTATCCTTGCTGACAGACGCGTAAACGTATGTCCGAGGTACTTAGCACCACAGGTGTAAGTAAACTGATATACCACGTACGATTCGGACTTGGCCGGTAATCTGTCCTTAAGGCGCTGAGTAATAAATGGAGTGGTCTCAGCAAGAACATGTGGATTTGCGACTGGGTATGTTCTTCTCACTGCAGTGGAAAGTAGTCTGTCCAGTAGATGGAAAGCGATGTCACCGTTAAAGGGAACCGTGAGAAACGCATCCTTTTTTGGGACTGTGATGACAGGTTCACTGCGTTCACAAACAACAGCGTGTTTTTGATAAAAGAGGAGGGATAACCGTTTGAGAACAGCGTTTTAAATATGGGTTCCTTCTCGTCTGCTAGCGTCTCCGGGCTGCAAATTTTGGGGGCTCGGTAATACATGCAGCGGACTAAATTACGTTTATACCTCAGAGGCAGGAAACTCAGCAAGTGCGTGTTTTGTCCAACCCAAGAATCCTTCCAGAAGACCCTTCTCTCAAGGCAGCCGTCTTCTCGTCCCACCAGTAGTACGTACAGGAAAGACAGCTTTCCTTTTTTCGATTTCTTTGGTGTGCACCGTTGTTGATCGAGTAAACCAACTAAATCAGCCTTGAAATCACAGAGAATGAACGTGTTCTCCATATACTTGCAGTAGAAATCTAGTGAAATATTAACAGTTTGGATAGGACCACGTTCAAGCCTTGCGAGGATGACGTCGACGAGAAGAGGTCCTAGGGGCGAATACTTAGCAACTTCGCCAATCTACCGATAATAAGTTCCGTCAAACAGGAACTGTCTGTTAAAGGTGCATCACAGGATTAGTCCCTTCAGTTTCGGCACTGGAATACCAACATTTATTTGTTTCGCAGTTCTGTTGACGGTCTCTATCAACGGGACGTTGATGAAAAGTGGTTCCACATCATATATGAGCATCACTTTACCCTCTACCTTCAAGTCTAACTTTTCCAACAAATTCAAATGTATCTCTTAGAGGGTGTATTTATGGTGCATTACGTACGGCGTTCCAGTAATTCGACATGCCATTCTGCAACATTGTGGAAAGCGAAAGCCGATGTATCAATTATAGGACATAAGGGGACATGCGGCTTGTGTACTTTAGGTAAACCATAAAGCTGGGGTGGCTGCGAACCAACAGAAGTTAATTGATCAAATCTAGAGTCATTTATCATGTGCAGCTGTTTTAATTCTTTCAGGGCTTTCGTAACTTTCGTTTCCTCTTCTGCGGTCCTGTCCTTTTGGACTGTAACACACGAGCTTGCTTTAATCTGGCAAACTAACGTGAAGTTTGGCGATATATTCGGTTTCGTCCATTAACACCCATCCCGATCCTTTATCTGGTC